GTATAGGGTTACCAGTATTTGTCGCTTCTATATTTTATAGTATTGAATAATACCAAAATTAATCTAATATTGTTTAATTTAATTAGCAGCTGACTGGCAACCCCAAAACGAATAAATCGGTTTGTTTAGGCTTTATTCGCTAGATCGAGGCTTAGTTCATATAAAAGCAATAACGTTTGCATCTATTTAACATTGAAATTTCTCCCTACGCAAACTTATGTTAGGTAACCACGTACTAGCTTTCAACGCTTGTTATTTCTAACCATATACAAATAATTATTATTAATATTTTAATATTTCTGTACCATGAATTACAATGTAGCTAACCCTACATTCAACTCAGTTCTCAGTGTTACCGGACTGACCTCGAGGCGGTCAGTACAGCCGCACTCGGCCGACGTACCCGGCGTGTGCCCCGACTGGTCAGGCACACGCCTACGCCATGCCGGCGTTCTCTTGTTTACTGTATCCAATACCACGGAAATCAAACATTCAAACCATAGATAAATCTATCAACATCATTATGCGGAGTCAACAAACCGGTAATTTTGATCACTGCTAAACGATACGGTTACCTAAAGTTTGGTTCGCCTTTTAGAAAGAGATGGGAGAGCGTTCCCTTAGGTTTTCCTTACGACATGACATGAACTGATTAATTTGCAAACCTATCTGATGTTAAGCCACTGGAACTGATGTGCCTCCACTGTCGTAATTGAATTAAGTACAACAATATTGTCATTAACGTTCTTAAACAGTTAAAATTTAGCATCAACGTGTATGTCTCCATCCTCAACAGTCAAACATTCAAACATCTTAACGTTACCATAAATTCTAGAACAACAACTCAACACAGGAACTATTCCCAGGGTTGCGTCGTCTATAATTACAAACACCCACAGTAACGTGTGACTAACATTTGGTTTCAATGGCGTCAAATAAAACGCATATAGCACGTACGGTCGCCTAAAATAAAATTTCCGCAACGCAAATGCGCTGGACCTAAGAATTATGTATCACACGTGAAAGTACTGGCCGGAAATCTCTGATTACGTTAGACAAGGAATTATATAAATACATTCAAGTATAGACCGACAAGCATATCTGACCCGGTGAGCATAAGTCAAAATAAATTACGACAGCTCACTAGCGCCCCCATCAACGTCAAAGTGAACTGATTGGCCGTCATTTATACATATGTGTTATTGTTTTTGCGTGCGCGACTGTACCGGAAGTTCACTAACAATGGTAGACTGCAACATGACACGTATAGCCGTATTTACTAACCAGGTCTTTTCCCCGAATGAGAATTATTTCCTACATGTATATATGACCTATAGATATATAGGAACTTACTATTAAAACTTTAAAACCCCACAGTGCCGGTAAAATACTGCTTCCAGAAAACAACGACATTTGAGATGAAAATTTAAAATATAGGTATTTAATTCGGATCACAAAAAGAGGCGAGATAAAAGGAGACACAGGAAAAGAACTAAATTTTAAAAGATTTTAATTTGTCCTAGAGAACAGTGTTTTTGTCATAGAAAATTTCACACGCTATGATACTACGGAGTTTTTATCTTGTACCAACATACAAAGAAATTTCGAGGTCAACATTGGCCCTTTACGTCACTAATTGCTGACTCGTACTTTATATTTATAACCAGAAAGGCCATCTGTTCGATATTTGTAATGTGGTCTATCTTGGTCTTCAAGAGTAACTCCACTTCATGTACATTTTTGCGCACAAAATGCGAATCACATACTTATGAGTACTATAATTTTCTTAACTTCGCGCGATACGTTGCGCAGAACAGAATTTTAGGTGTAGCAGGGGCTAGCGGGATGCGGGGAGGGTACTGCGCAGCCCTCCTATGACCTTGAGTCGTTAAATATTTGAAATAAGAAACAGAAACGAATTATATTATACACTTTCTTGTGCTTACTGCAATAATATCTAGGAAATTAATTCATCACAGTTAAACTATAAATCCAGCTAGCCAGTGAGGCACGATTTCTTAATAAAATTCCTAATACATTCTTTTTTTATACCTTCAGCGTGCTATAAATTATTAAAAATAAAATTAGTCTAACTGACCGATGGCTTCATATCACGACAAAAATAAAACGTGTAAGAAATAATCATTATGTATGCTTATTTTGCCCGACTTACTGTAAAGTAATAAATTAAGCACATCACCATATGTCATTCAATTCTTTTTTGTCCAGGAGACTTCTAGAGGTTAGTAGACGTTAATTTAGTTTATTCCTTTTTTAAATTAAACATTACTTTTTATGTGAATGTTTCGACAGTACGAACACGCCCTTACATTGAATAAGGTAAACACCCCATACATTCCTTCGGCAAATCATACCTACATCTCTATATGTATATTAGGCAAATCTACCTATAGACTTTTTAGTGTCCAATGACATTTCACCATGGTGTAGTAGTGGGTAGGGAATAAATTTCCTCAACTGTTAATTGAAACATCTATAATATTATAAAGAACGTGCTGGAATGTTCGCTATTTTAAATAGATTTCAAATAACATTCAAACAACGTTAAATATTTGTACAACAGATGCCGGTCAGAAATCTCAACACGTTTGGTAAACAAGCACGTAGGTACTACGTTAACATATTTATGTAATCATACGAATTCGTACTTGTCAAGAACCTTTGACTTTTAAGAGACAGGACTAGTCAAACGCATACCCCACTGTAATAAATACAATAAGTCTAACTAGCTTGCTTCTGTGCTTGTTTTTGTGAGAAAATTTATTTGTTCATAAAGACGTTTCAATTTGTTTCGTAGCAGAATTTATTTTGTACATTGTCCTTGCCCAGTCCGTACCTTTATAGTCAAAGTATAATCATACATTAACGCATTCGTACTTGGCTAGAATATCAGACGTTAATGGAGCGTGACTCGTTCCGTTGCGTTATTTTAGTTGACACAATCAAATGACTTGGTCGAAATTAATAAGTACATCTACATATTGCGTTGTATCGTCGTACAAACTACTACACACTGACATATTCGTGATAAAAACAATAAATAAAGAACTGATTTTGACACGATCACTATACGGCGTAATTTACAAGATATATTTACTATTTCTATTATTCTATAAGTTTTTTTTATAGGAGAAAGAGGCAAAGGAGTAACGAATCGCCTATTATTATTATTCCGTAAATTGGTTAAAAATGACTGGCCAACGTGAAAGAAGTCCTAATGAAACAAAGAATAAAAACACATTGTTTTTTTTTATTGATCAATCTTTGGATACTTCAATTATTTTAATCTGTGAAGACAATTAAAGTCACAATCTGAAGTAAATAACAAATACTGTTTATTTACATTGTTATGAGTCATTGAGATAAAAATGTATTTACTCAAGTTAAATATAAATAAAACCGAAGAAAACAAAGACTTATCTCGTTGGTTCGCTTTGTCATTCGAGGTCAAATATTATTATAAAGACTCGAACTTAATAAATAAATAACATCTTTTAACCGACTTAAAAGTTTCAATTCTAGTTAAAAAAATATTTCGCCAATATAACCTCTAAAATAGGACCATTTGTTACAAAAGTCTATGGGTTGAAGAAATATACTTTCTTCAATGTTTTTTTTCAGAGTTTGTGCTGGACATAGCTAATACACGTAGTTCTTTGAACGACAGTATCTACTCTCTTTGAATATAGAGGATTGAAATACGGCTCGGTCACTAAACTCTAATAGGATTAAAAAAGATGTCCTTTCTTATCAAATTAAATCGACTCAATTTGCCATCCTTCCAAACCTGATTACATAATAACACTAAACTATTTATTACAGTAATAGTGTACTATGTGAGCTCATGTTCTACCTCCTTTCCATCTACAAATATTAATAACCTAACTCAGATCTGCACATACAAATTACGATTGTCAATGAGTAGCAGTAATTATGTTAGGTTAATCTGATTTTCCTTTGTCTATATAATAGATCTCTTGTGTCGGAGGCCAAGACCCACTTTGGGTCGATGCGCCAGCGGAGTAAGTAAGTATATAATAGTTGTTAATGATAGCCTTTTTTGAAAGGGAACCAATGTAAATACAAAAAGTAAATTTGAGAAAATCGATCGAACTATACGATCGTCGTGTCGATGACAGCGCCACGGTGTTGAAACTTTCGCTATCGCTAATCGGGATGAAAAATAGCAGTTTAATGTGGTAGACATTAAACTGCTATTTTTCATCCCTATTGAATCATGTTAATTCTTTTCCATCCAAAAACAATGAATATAATGAGAAATTTAAAGAAAGTAGTGAAACGCTTCCGATTATAATTTTTAGACTTGTTTTTAAAATGTCTAGAACAAAAGAAATTTTAAAAAACTGAAAATTATTTTTAACAAAAGTTGACTATGCCTAAAAATCATCGTTCAGTAGGTCCATTTCAGCTATATCTTTGAATTTACCGGTAAAAGTCTGCCACAGACAATGAAAAAAAAACGTTTAAATTTTTAACTTGGTGAATCAATAATTTGGGATCTAATACGTATGACGTAATGTTTCAAAGTAAAATTATATAAATAAATATGCAGGAAAATAGATGACTCTTTATTCAATCGTTGAGATGGATGGTGCTAAATTACCTATGTAATCCTAATCACTACATTTTCATGCACTTTACATTACATAGGTACATGATATTTTGTCTAACTTACGTTATTTTTATGCGTATGTTTTAGATAAGTAGGCATTCTAGGCACTCTAGCATTACAATGACGAGAAAAATCCGTTATTAATAACACAAAGCACTACTCTACGCAATATTTTTTTTACCGTATTATAATCAATATATTAGATAAATTACAAGTTATATTAATTTAACAAAGTGCACGCGTGATTTATATTTAAATTTCAATAAATGTGCAAATAGTACATTTTTAATATGAATTTTTACACATGCCAATAAAGTTTAAGTATATTATTAAAGTAATAACTTACCTGCAATTCCGCTGAACATCTTACAGTTTTTAAATTTACCACAAAAACAACACACAAATTTATTCGAAACAAATAAATTTCCACTAAATATAGAGATTCAACGCGCAAATACGCAATACTCTATAGCTCAATCTTAGCGACTGGAAGAACCTTCGTCGAATAACGAACGCACTAAACTGAAAGATAGTACAGTAAAAAGTTCGAGAATCGACACTCAACACTTGCAGACTTTGCGCTTGCGCTGTACTCGAGTACTGAATGACTTGAATGACATAAGAGCCCACTGCGGCGATGAGCAAACAATCGACCGTATTTTTATCCATGACGTCATAGCGCAGAAACGTTTTGATCTTGCAAAGGAAATTACTTCCACATTTAACCTTTGTTTTTTGTTAAGTCTTTGTTGCTGAATAAATACGTAGTTGTTTTCCAATACTGATGTTATTTATTGATATCATAATTAAAAATATATTGTAAATAAAAAGAAACCCTGAAAAATAAAAATTCATTGGTTACTTTGCTTTGTTAATCTATTTCACAAAACGCCGTTGCATAGCAACGGGAACTTGACAACAAAACAAACGATTTGATGTTAAGATGTCAGTTTGCTTGAATTAAAGTATGAAAAAACGAAATCCTACAAATTATTATGTTATAATTATTGATTGAAATGTCGAAGGAAAATGCTAACTTGCGTCTTTTAGGTTCTCCAGTTAATCTTTCTTATAGAAGTAAGAAAAAAGACGATAAAAAGAATATACGAAATCGACCCCGTTCAGCTCTTCAAAGTTCTTGTATCACACCGGTAATATCTTTAAATAAAAATTAAATCAATACTTTGTATCATTTACAAATATTTCGATATTAAAGACTTGAATTCATAGATTTAATTCACGTATTGGTATTCTCTTTTCTGTGCATCGTTTCTTCAGAAAATAATAAAAAGAAACGGTTCAATAGTTTTGTAGCATATTCAATGTAAGGAAACAATCTAATCTTTCCAGTTTATAATATTAGTATAGATTAACATTAAGAACTATGTAAATTTAGTAGTCAATGGAACATTCTGGAAGAAGAAAGTGCATATGAATTAATTTATATTAACAAAGTTCTCAATGGCTTAAAGTTACATATGATTAATAAGTTTTGTTTCAATAAAGTTGAGACCAAATCAATAATTTAAGAAAAACATACATTAGTATCTTGTTAAGACTTCTCAATCTATATCACAACAAATTCATGCTTTAAATTATATAAAACCAGACCCAATCGATTTACTTACAAATAAAATTAACTGGAATGTTTTTTTTTTTTATTTTTAAAGTTTCATAAGATTCCACAAACCTACTCAAAAAAATCCTTTTAAATTATTTTCTTCTTTGTTCATTATTCATCCATTTCACTGTCCATTCAGAAAATTATTCAAGATGTAATTTAATCTAACACTAGTTGTTATTGTTTCAGGAAAATCCGGAAAGATTTAAACGGCCATTTTCAGCTGACACTAAGGAAAGAGCTTCAACTACTCGATCCTTTTTAAAATCATTTAGTGCAGATTTATTGCAGTCATACAACAGTAAATATATTATAATGTACATTAAATAAAGTATTTAAACCCATGTATTTATTAAATAATTTATTTCAGATGCATCAACTAATTTAAAAATAGTTCCACCAACAACCATTTTACTTGGTGATACTAAACCGTATGAAAATTTAAAAGCAAAAGCAAATAAAGAAACTTGTAGTAATGCCTCAGATTACGGCTCAGAAGATACATTTATCAGTTTAGGTACGAAGATTAAAACCAAAGCCCAAACACCACCTAAAAAAGATACAAACACAAAAGCATTGAAATACAGAAACATTGCAAAGAAGGGACGTAAAATGGAACAACAAACAAATGATGATAAAGGGAATGAACACTTCGGTTTAGAAGTTACTATTAAAGAAAGGGCAAAATCTCAATCACCTTGTAGAGATGTTGATACATTTTTTCATCGATGTGCATCACCTTCCTTTAAGAATAGAGCTTACGAATCATATTTCGTACCTCTTGATGATAAAAATAAATCCGACCATAATTTAAATGAACGTCAATTACTTGACTCTGATGAATTACGATTGGATATGCAAAAGGAAATAGACGCATATTCTCGTCGATTACCTTTAACTAAACAACAATTATCTTTAGTAGAGGAAGAATCTACCCAAGACCTTGAAAGTATCCCATCAAATAATTTACCAAGTTTGTCACCTGAAGCATCATTAATAGAAAAAAAACGAAATACAAACAAACAAGATTTTACTATTCATAATGTCATGACTCATACAGACAAAAACGATGACTACTCAAGAAACCAGCATATATCCAATGAATCAAAAACATATAGAAGCTTTTATGAAGACTTCAATAACCATGATCACGCATATAAAAATAATTTTTCAAGTACTGTAATTCAAACAGATTCTTCGTCTAAAGATTCTGGTTATCCTGAAAGTGTTGTGAAAGAAGATAAAAATTATGTACAAAACTTTTCACTACCATCTGCCACAGTACTAAGAAAATCTAGCTCTGATAATAACTTACATGATCAACCAAAGAGTCTAGATAGTGCATCACTTGGAAGTGATGAAAAAAATTACCATAACACCTATCCCCCTGATAAAAAGTGGGCAGAGCCTCTGAATCATAGTCGTTTGCTTTACAAAGATTTCTTTCTGAAGAAAGAGGGTCATTTAGCAGTCCCGCCACAGAATTCACCAGATAGACCAGGAATACAGCAAAATGAAACGAATTATGCAAATAAAAATTTAAACGATGAGAAGGATGAACGAGAGATTAGTGAATATCCAAAGTATTTACTAAATAGTAGTACAAAGGCATACACTTCTAAAGTAATTGAAGATTACAAAAGAGAAATAGAGGCTATTAATAATTTACATGAACTTACACTAAAAGACATAAAAACAGACTCAATATCACCTACGCCCCTTCACATTGAAACTATGTACGAACAATCTAATAATCAATGTGAAGATAAACATAATTCTATTGAAAGTTCCCAAAAGAGTTACGAAACAAGTGACTCGCCGGTAGAAGACAAAAATTGTGCAAATAACAAAACGGATATTTCTAAAGTAACCACAAGGGAACTAATTCAGAATTATTTTAAAATAAAACACGATTATCCTAAAGGAACTAAAGAGAATGTATTAAAAAATCTAAAGAAGTTTGAGAAGAAACTAAACAACTTGAAAACAGATAGCAAAAGTCCTAAAATAGATTGGAAAAATAAAAGCAATATTAGTAGACCGGGGCAAGAGACAGTTAAACATCAGTCACCTAAAAATATTTTCACAACTAAAATACCTCTTAGCTCTAGAATAGAGAGTGTACAAAACGATAAAGACGTGGAATCATGGATGTCTTTAACAGTTCCAACACCCAGAACTACGGAGACCGTAGATAAAGCAGAACCTACAACAGAAGTCCCTAAAGAAAACCAGAGAACTACAACACTAGAAGAGGCATTAACTGAAAATACTACTCCAAGAAACGTTACACCAACAGAAGAAGTAGTTAAAACAAGGGAATTAGATTCTAAAGCCACCGTTCTTGATATATATTCAATGTTAAAAGAAATTGAAAGTTATGGTGATAATCCTGTAACTAATGAGGAAATTAAGGAGGAGTTACCAAAAGATGAAAATAGAGTTTCAACACCAAAAGATAATTTTACGTATGTGTTTAAGTATTGAAGATTTTTCATTAACGATGTCATCGTATATTGATTTTTTTTTTTCATTTTACAGGGAAATTTTTGAATTTTTAGAAAAGGTTGAACAAAGTGCAAATGATGCTTTATCTGTTGTAACGAATGCAGCTCCACAAAATACTCCAAAGTAAGTAAGCTTTATTAGTAAACTAGCTGTCGTCCGCGACTGCGTCCGCGCGGAATTAAGCCTATGTGTTCTTCCACACTATGTTCTACATCCATGTCAAATGGCAACATGATCCGTTCAGCCGTTTTGGAGATACCATCAAACAAACATCCGTCCAAACATTCGCATTTATAATATTAGTAAGGCTATGAAAACTGATAGAAAATTTTGCCTTAACCAAACTTCCCGTTAAATTATTATGCGAAGTACTTATAGGTGCAAAGCTTTCTATGCATAATGCGTTATTGTAAACAGAGTTTGGATCTTTTCAAAGACAATTATTGAAGAAAATAATAATAATTAGGTTAGAGGTGCTTCTAAAATTGCCACACACGGAGTTGGCGCAGCGCGTTGTGACCGCGTCTCTGCAGCTCGAGGAGCGGTCCTGTTGTATCGCACTACTGCAAGAGAGCTTAGCCAATCACAAGCAACAGGTATCTTATTAATAAAGAAGATCCACTGAACTCCGTAAATGGACTGGCTAAAAGACTTAGTAATTTGTGCCTATTTGGTTTTCGCCATTTTGGCGCTGATGGTAATGGTTTGCAGAGGTGTTGTAAGTTCGAACAAATAATAGTCGCGTTTAAATCTGAACAAAGCAAAAGCTGTAATTTCTAAGCAATTGTCCATTTATAGAGATCAAGTGAGAGGATCGAAGTAAATTAAAATATTAATTGGTTAAAAGATCGATTATATATTAACTTTGCTTATCTCCCCTTTTCCAGATGATTACAAAAGTAAGCAATTTAGAGAAGCAATCTCAACGTAATATAATGAAGGTTAAGCAGGAGTGTGAAGAAACTATAAAACGCCATCAGAATTTTATAGACCAGGTATAATCCCAGAAACTTCGCTAAAATCAAACTCCAAAAAAAATTGTGTAAAATACGTGAATTCAATTGCCTTTCAGCTTATAAACGACAAGAAGACGTTGAACCATCGCATAGAACAGCTGGTTGACGAGAGAAGGTCGCTGGAGGAGAGGTGGAAGAGGTCCGTGCAGACGTTAGAGGAACGCTACAAGCTGGAACTGCGGAATCAACACGACAAGATGGCTGCCGCACAACAGGTATCTTATCCCTATGTCGCTGCTTGAAAATTACAGCTTTTGGATCATTCCGATGTAAAAGCACTAGTTGAAGTAACTGCCTGATAATTCTAATATATTATTAGTTCTAGTTTTCAACATGGCTATCAAATAAGCACAAAATATCATGCCTTATAACCTATCCAGTAAAATAGAGACAGTGTTACACCCTCATTCCACTAATGCCTGATTCACATGGGCACAGAGCAGTGATGCAGTTCAGTACTGCTTATTTTCTGCATTGAAATAATAGCAGTACTGCTTTGTCTACTTGCTCTACACTCATTTGGAATAAGCGAATAACCGCTCGACTACTTTTTCTATGTGCAATGTCTATATAAGGAAGCACTGCTTTAAGTGTTAAATTATCATATCACAAACTGTTACCACTGTACCTAAATTCCACTTCATCCATACATATTCCAGGTTGCCAGGCAACGATGGGTTCGACAGAAGGCTGAGAAAATTAAGGTTGGTTATTTCAACTATAGTTTCAATTCTTTCATTCAGAAGTACCGCCTAAAGCACATTGTTACTTTAGACTATTACTTAGTCATTGTGTAAAAAAGAGCGTCGGTGGATTAGGGGTTAAGCACTTGACTTGCAATGTGCAGGTCCTAGGTTCGAATCCCGCCATGTACCAATGTGTTTTTCGATTTCTGACGTTGTTACCGTGAAGGAAAACATCGTGATGTAACCTGCACATGTCTGCGAATCAATTCAAAGATATGTGTGAAGTCAACCAACCCGCACTTGGCCAGCGTGGTTGACTATGGCCTAGTCACCCCTAACTTAGGGTATGTTCCGGGGCCCTCAGTGAGGATGTATGGTGAGCTGATACTAATAAGCTACTTTTTAAGGTTAGTATTATAAGGTAAGGTAGTTTTTAAGGCGTAGTCACCCCTAACATAGGGTAAGGTCCGAGTGGGGACTATAGTGACTCCTCGTAAGAGAAGTTTATAAGGTTATTCATGACGCAGTATGAATTGAGATACTATAAAAATAACTAATAAATTACAGGAGTTAACAGTAAAGGGCTTAGAAGGAGAACTAAGAGAGATGGCGGAGCGTCAACAGAAAGAGATATCAGATCTGAGGATGTCGCACGCGGAGCAACTCGGGAAGACGCAGGCGAAGCACGCCGCTGAGCTGGAACTGCTAAGGAGGAACTTGGAGGAGGAGAAGGAGGAAGCGCTTGTGAAGGAGAGGCAGCTAGCCAGCTCCAGGTAATGAGCATTTATTCCTATATTTTCACTGAAAATACTTGCTTACATACTGGCGACTTTTATTCTGTAAGTGAAAAAGTATTAACTAATTTTTCAAGTATTTATGTTAACGTCAACGTAACACTCATATCATATTTATCAAGTGTTTCTGAGACCAAAAAGATTACGATATGTTTTATATACAGATTATGGTCTCAAAAACTAACAGACATTGATAGAACAAATAATTCGACATCTATTTTTCTTAGCTTATTTTTAACCTGATGCAAGAATTCATTAGTGATTTTAATTCTATAATATCAAACAATTCTTACTTATCATCAATCTATCACCCCTCCCACCCTAGAAAATAAAGAGTTAACTTTTAGTTTTATAACTTACAGACTGGAGAAGCAGATGTTAGAAATAGAACTGACATACCAAGAACAACGCACGCGGCTCGTGTCGGAACTGCGAGGGGAAAGCGAACGCGCGGCGCAACACCTCGCCGACAGGGAACGAGAACAGAAAGAAGAAATCGGTGAGAAGAGACATGTCTAATACAGAACTAGACCTAAAATATTGTGAAATAAAAATAGCTTCTTTTCGTGATAAGGAAAGAAAGGTTGAAAGTATGGTCATATTGCCCATATGATCCATGCTTAATGATGCTGATATAGAGTAATTTTTAAAGATGCCACCTGAGCAATCTGGGCAATAAAACAATATTAAATTTAGTTGTCAATCATTTCAGAGAAATGGAAAGAAGAACAAGAGACTTTGCTACAAAAGAAACGCGAAGAATTGGATAAGGAAATCGCAGAAGAAAAAGCAAGGATTGAGGTAAAAATTTGTAATTAGCAACACATTTACTGAATTCAGTCTTTAATATATTCTGATTACATACATTTTAGTTATTCAAAAACAATCTATATTTTTTAATTATAAAATGGTTTATTCATAAAAATACTTAGTAACTTAAAGTTAAATTTTAGGAATTACTCAAACAAAAACGCATTGAACTGGAGGAAGAGTTTCAACGATACAAGAAGGAGTTCGAAGCGGAGCAGCAAATTGTTTTGAAGAAGAAAGTGACAGAGATATCGGCGCAGCACAAGTTAGAGCGAGACAGGGAGATAGAGAAAGCCATAGAGAGCATGGAGGCCGAGGCTCAGGCGGGAAGGAGAGAGCTGCAGGAAGCCTTGAGGTATTCAAGTCTTATCGATCATGCTTTCCTGGTATTCATTTCAGATAATTACAAAATATTAATGACCTTAATAAAACAAAATACACTAAAATTGCACTCAAAGTTATAAATTGGTCATTTAAACAATCGCTTAGTGTGTAATATACTAAATCAACACTAAATGTCTGTCTAATTGGTCAATTAACGACTCTGAGTCCAACAGTTAGGGAAAATACACATTACACTGAGGCAAAATTATTACACGTCAGTCCCATAAAGTACTAGGCACTCAAAAGCACTCAAGAGTATTAAAATAATGCATACATAGAAGGAACAAGGAGCAGTACGAGACAGAGTTGAAGGAGCTGGGGCAGACAGAACAAGCCACGCTCCGCAGGTACCAGGAGGCGCAGGCGCGTGTGCGGCACACGGAGGACCGATGTCAGTAACTATCAGTCAATTTATGAACTCCTGGTATATCATTCAAATAAATATCTATATTTTTTTTTGTATTTACAATTTAAATTGGTAATCTTATCTTTCTTCTTACTAATATTATAAATGCGAATGTTTAGATGGATGGATGTTTGTTTGAACTTATCTCCAGAACGACTGAACGGATCTCCATGATATTTGGCATACATATAGAACACTAGCTGTCGCCCGCGACTCCGTCCGCGTGGTATTATAAAAAAATAATAAGTAGCATATATGTTCTTCCAGACTATGTTCTATATGTATACCAAAGTTCATCGAGACAAACATCTATCCATCCATTCATCCATCCAAGAATTCACATTTATAATATTAGTATGGTAGTCTGGAAGAATACATAGACTACTAATTGTGTTTTTTTTTAATTCCGGAGTTTTTTCAAACGGAGTCGTGGGCGACAGCTAGCTTAATAATTTTCTAAGCTTGCATTTAAAAACGATATGTGATTTTCCTATAGGCGCTGAATTGGAAGTAACAATCGGTCAGCTGGAAGCGAGAAATAAAGTACTTACAGAGGTATTGGATTTATAATTTTAAACTAAAAATGTTTCGATACAGATATTTTGGCAGTGGAAACTCATGACAACTGTTTGCGATGTTTGCAGAAAAACATCCAATTGGATAGTCAAGCGGAGGAGGTACGCGCGAGCTGCGAGGCAGCATGGCGCGCAAAGCTGGACACACTGACCAAGGAAACCGAGGATATGAGACACAAACATGATGAGCAGATGCATCAGCTCTACGCCAAGTTAGTCAATTTTGTTTTACTACTCGATTCTCTCAGTCTTTCTAGTCTTTATTGCAGTTTTATCAACAAAATAATAGAGAAATCTACTTTTTTGTGTGGAGCCATAGTTACTTAAGCATTGACCTTAGTAACCATTTAATAATTCTGAGTGTGGCAATCCACGAATTTCATTTAACACGTTCCTGGTGCATTTTTTTATTTTATTCTACTTTGGTTACCAGAATCAATGTAAATCAGATCTCACAGTTTACGTCGACCCCTATCGACACTGCCACTAACTATAGCCTTTAAACATAACTTATTGCGTTAGAATATGACTTAACCATTTTTTTTTCTTTCTATGTGCCATATTTTTCTTCATTTTCCTAAAGATTTTTTATGTAGAACTTCAAGAGCATAAGTCTTTTCATATATGTTGGCGACTCAAGGTCATGTACGCGCTGCGCTACACCTAACATTGTGTCCGGTGAAGCAATTCGTGCGATGTTTCGAGCAGCCAAGATATTTGACAATTGCTATACCAGTTGGTAAAAGTTAATATTGTATAGGGTGAAAGTAGCTGTGGCCAAGAAGGACTCCACCATTCAGGCGTTGACGAGAGAAGCCGCCAAGTACCAGGAGAAGATAACTTTACTGGAACAGAAGCTGCAGCAGCAGAGGAAAGATTTTCTCAAACAAAAATGATTTGATCCTAAAATAATGATACGATTTATTTGATAACTTTATAAGCGTTTTCTAAGTGCAAGAATTTGTCGAATATTTTATTTTATGACAATTTGAGGATATTTTTTTTTGTTTCTATTTTATCTAGATTCTAGAACTTTAGAATACTAATGATTCCTTTCTTAGACCAAAATGTGCAAAATAAGTGGCCACACATCGTTAGTATGTCGAAGTGACCACAAGCTAAAGAGTAATAATTTGCCTAGTTTTAATGGATGGAAGGATGTACAGAAAAAAATGGTTCTTTTTACTAGCCATCCCCTCCCCCGTCAAATCCACTTCATTTTTCCATCCATTCTTTATAAAAAGCATTGGCGGGTATACGAGTACCGATTGGATTTGGTACGGTTTTTAGGTTTTATAATGTTTTTATTATTTTCAATTACAATAATTTCGTATGTTATTTTGTATGTTATAAATGTTAAATTGTGCTGTGTTTATTTATTTAACTTATTACTTTCCTCTGAAGAATGTATTTTTTTTTTTATTTTAAAGTAATTGCCCTTAATGTTATGAATTTAGCAATAAAAGTATTTTGAGACTGATTTTTTTTATTTCCACTATGAAACATTTTTACTTTGAAAACCATGGTTAGAATTATTTTATATTTACTAAGACTTACAAAAATTGCTTGAGATTGATCCATTTTGAAAAGTGTGGACGGATTTTTCTTTACTTCGGTATTTAGTCAATATAAAAAAACAAGTAAATATAAAAAAAATATCTTTTAATAAAAACGTTATACCGAACAGGTAAATTATTAAAGCTTCAGTATTTGCAGTTGCAAACAATATTCTTATAAAACTAAATACAACTTTACGTCTTATTAAAGCTAAAACATTTGTAAACGAAAATAAAATCGCTCAAGTATCACTTCATAAAATAAACGCAAGGTGACAATTAGCGGATGAGTTGCCAGATTTATACTCCATATTTAAAAAGTAGGTACTATTAGGAAGGAACACCGATACTGCCGGTGCAACACTAGCCTTATTAAAATGTCAACGTTTATGTCCCATCTCTAATCATTCTGACACTAGACTCGGTAACAAAAGCGCGCCATTCGCGCCAAAGGATTTTAACCAATAATGTCTAAAAGCATCTTATAATTTTATTTAAAATTTAACGTTATCTAGCACCACAATATATTTTACTTGAAAACAGTTAAGTTAGTCTATAGAAATATTATCAAGCCTGGACAGACTTTGAAACAATTCTTTTGAAATCATAGTTGTAACTATTACAAGGAATTACATTTTTTTCTAAACGGCCTGAATTGTAAAAGCTAACTTCACTCCAGTCGATTCAAATGGTCCTACAGTTGTAATCTAGTAATTTATTATGACACGCGTTATAAACTCTCATATAATTTGCTATTCCTAGAATTATCTCTGGTCACCAGGGCCGCCACATTTCAGTACTACTTGACGTTCCTTGTTCAGGTGATTTGGGACGGCTGCTAGATTCAGTACTCTCTTTTGTTTCCTGTTTGACAACCCTGGATGTACTCGACTGTGCTAAGGATTCCGCAGTATGGCTTATCACAGATCTCTGTGCAGGATTCAGAACAAGTGAAGGTCTTTCAACTACCGCTGGTATGCTAACGGGCAACGTTAACTTCCTCTCTTGAGCTGCTGGTATCCTTCTGAACGCTGATATTTTCTCAGGTCTATCTAAAACTACTATTCTCTCGATTTGTGCTCTCTCAGGACTAGGAACTTTTCGTTCTGGTTCCAAACGAATCAATTTAGGTACCGGTCCCATCGTTTCGGACGGTCTTTTTAACTTCTGTCTAATAGAATAGTCTACTGCACGTTTAGGAGACGCATCTATACCGATTTTATAGTTTTCCACGTCTATGACGATTGATAACGGCTCCATAAACTTTTTCGTTCTCGAACCTTCTTGCTGGAGACTCTCTGGTGATATCGTCGTCGAGGATACAGTCGGCTTCTGTTCGGGACTCGAATCCTGATCGGATGCTGATCTACTCGGTGGCGTAGGAAAGGGAAATTTCTGTACCGGTCGCGGTGGTGTTTCCAATTCAGTTGACGAATCGCAGGCGGAGTCACAGGATAATGGACTCAACGGTGGGCTTGTTGGCCTGGTTGATTTGACAAAATGGAATGCACTGGGTCTTTCGTCGTCTAGTCTTAGGGGATCAGGCACTAGAGGTGGGTAGTCTGCGGGGTGAAGGCGCTCGATGCCAGAAAGGCAGGTATTGAGGTGGTCTCCGAGGCGGTAGCGTAGTCCTGTGGGCACGCTGGCAAGGCGCGACAGGTAGCGGCGCACCTCGAGCGCGCAGTCGCCGAAGCCGGACTTGAAGCGGTGCAGCACAGCTGGGTCAGCGGCAATGGCAGCTGCCAACTGCTGCCGCTGCAGTCGTTGTAGGTGCTTCACTGTCATCTCCAAGATATCCGCCTTTTCTAACTTCGAGTGGCGTGCTGGCTGGAAATAAATAAAAAGTTTTGTTAGATTTTGATGCACTTCTTTATAATGTTTTTTTTCTTTGACTGTAAAGCGATTGTCTACTCTAGTTTGGTAGTATTAGAAGAAAGAGAGCTAAGGCTAAGGTCTTCCTAATAGGATGTCAGACTAACGATTAAGGACTTACGTCTTTGTCCATAGAGTCAGTAAGTAGATCTTTCAATTCGTTGAGGCAATGGTTGATGCGCGCTCGTCGCTTCTTCTCCATTATGGGTTTATTGGTCTAAAACAATAACAAATCATTTAAAACTTCGTTACACGATAACAACACAAAAAATACTGAACATATCACCGTAAAATTGCACATGTAAAATAATAAAAGAAAACTTTATTTTTAGGAAATTTTTAAACGCACTTTAAACACTTTAAAAAAAAATTCTAAGGAAATTCACGAGTTATTCACCTTTCGAAGTTCAGCCTTTGACATCCCTTGACTTGGTTCAGACATGAACCCAGTTTGGGAATCATCATCTTCACTGCACGGCATTATTGTTTACTACACTCGTAAGTCCTGTGAGGTTCAAGGGACGTAACGTGCGTCCCTGACAACGTCCGAAGGAGTTATGAGAGTTCCCGTACACGACCCGTAGTATAAAAATTATAATTCCTTCCCGTATGATCCCGTTGGTAAAGCGATCCCACAAACTGTGTCTATCTCTTTCTAACTTTGGTATACAAAGCGGTGGGAACTGTATCGGAATGTTTTGTTTTCGTTCTGTCTCGCTCTTGTGTGCAACCAGTTGTGAATGGCGCCTATGGTTCAAATACAAAAGGTGTGCAAAGTTTTCGGTTCGATTTATTTAAATTATTTTCATATTTTTTATCTCGTTATCTTAAATACAAAAAATTTGTTTGTTGTTTTCAATCACCATTAGTTTCTTTGGGGGAAAACTTGCGTAATTGTTTTTTTTCGCTTGTGTAAAAAAATGTATTTTCCTATAGAAAGTTTGTTTTTAATATCTTGTTATGTCAAATATTTTGTAATTACAAAATAAATTCATTTTATAACTCCATATTTTTATGCCTAAAAAAATAAGTACCTATGTTTTTTATCAATTTAAAAACAAACAAGAGTGAAGCTACTTGCGGCCTCCCTTATCCTGCCCGTGTATGGGAATGTGCGACCATGCACATCAAATACGACAATTATTCAAACCCCATGCTTTAGCCGTCATTTCGACAAACAAATACACACCTTGATTCATCGAACATCTTCGTAATAACGGTACTATTATTACATTCGCAAAATTAAACGATACACTGGATATTAAAGTGTACGGTAGGCGAAAAGTGTGATGTTTTTTTTACTATAATTCTAAATGACTGCAGGCGTACTTATTTAGCCCGGTGTACGCGACGTGTTCTCACGATGTGTGGGAATGCACAAGGGTGAGGTGACCGTAAACTGTATACGTGTGTGTTTACACTATATTAACTACAATAGCTTGATTCTTTTTATTAAAAAGAAAATATAATACTCAAAACATTGATCGAAGAAAAGAATATTCGAAAATTCTATCTTTTCGTTAGAGAAATACATCAAAAAAATTGTTATGTATAGTACATATGTACAGGAAAGATAGCCTCCAAAACTACTGTACCAATTGAAAAAATTATTTTACTGTGTATACGCACAAATGACATGGACAATATTACTAGATTTTTTTAAAATTCCGCACCGACAAAGTCGCGGGCAACTGCTAGTTAGTTATTGATAAAACTCGATTGACATTTTGTTTGACAACATTTTTATTAATACTGATATACATACAAACTAACTTTTTAAAACAAAAGAACTACCGTATAGTAGATGTTAAATGATAATTTCGTAATAATAGCCTTCTCTTCAATACCGCGTGAAAAAATACGCGATCCAGGTGTACTAGTGACCTTTAAACCGCGTCCCTAGTTCTTCATACCTTTATAGAATACGTAATATTTAATTAGGACTTCACTTTCTCCCACGGTGGTTATAATAAAATAACCATAAATAAACAATACCAATATTATAAAATCAATTGAAAATGTATCTTATGATGTTCAAAATAAGGGTTTTAAGATAATTTTATTACCGCATTAATAAATTTGTATAAACTTTTGAACCACATTACTAGTGCTATTTGCGGTTATTATTTGTAATATTATCTCTTATTGCGATGCAGTAAGGGTTAGAATTGTATTTCGTTTTACTTTTATGATGTTGTCAAGATGGCGGTCAAGTCCGTTCATATGCAACTATACTGCATGCGATCGCGTGACGACGCTAATGAATGGTGAATAATCGCCGTCAGATGTCGTTGATGTGTTAAACAGTGTAGGGTGGGCAGTGAGAACTAATTTTTTTTAATTAGCTCTCCGTTATATCATCATACTAACGATGAATGAAAATACGCGCGTGTGAAGAAATCTTACAAATACGTGAAGGTAAAAAATATTTTCAGATTTTTTAGTATCTTTTTTTGGCGTTATTTATAAAAACTTTATTTCAAATATTAACATCTTATTTATATTATTAATATGACATATTTGATGAAGAGCTTGGATTCGTAGATATATCTTACTAATATTATAAATGCGAATGTTTAGATGGATAGATGTTTGAAGGTATCTTTAAAACGTCTGTCCGGATCTCGATGAAATTTAGCATACATATAGAACAAAGCATGGAAGAACATATAGGCTACTAATTAGATTTGTTTTTATTTTAATGCGGACGGAGGCGCGGGCGACAGCTAGTAAATTGTAAATTAAAAAGAAAGGAGTACCAAAACAGAGCAAAATGGAAGACCGTTAAACCATATCCTCTGCCTACCCCAGTGAGTTACGGATGTAAGTTATGCCATTGTTTATTGCCAGTTATTTGAAGCTGTTTCAAAAGGTATAGGAAATCTAATTAAATATTAAACTATCTTCAAACAT